GTGGCGTGTGGGGGGCAGCACGAGCCTATGGCTAGACTTCCCCACCCCTACCGCTAGCCCGTGAGCCAGGGAGACAAGCTAACCCCGCCGTTCTCCATCCCCTCTCCCAGGACGGGTGAGGGATGCACCTGAGAAGTGTGTGCACGAGGGAGCACATAATCAGCGTCGTGCGGGTCACGCAGTCACGAGCATCCTAGTCTGTACGCTTACGCTGTTTAAATCAATTAAGGCAGTCCAAAACGTTTCGTCATGGCCTCAGGGTTAAGGCTGGCAGATCCCTCACGGGATGACCATGAGGGTCAAATCCCAGCCTCGGCAGCTTGATAAGTAGGTTGGATGGTCACGTATGTCCATGTGCATGAACCCCACGCTCTCACTTTCCCTGTCTCCAGCGAGTGCATGTACTCTTCTCACAAAAAAAAAAGTTTTCTATCTTACTGCGGGGACGGTGGCAGAGCAGGACCCAGGACACTGCCCTCAGTTACCACGGAGATGCATTGCTCTAGTGTAACACGCGTCACCTCCAACGGGAACACGCCATGCACTCCTCGGTGACTCCATCACGTGGCCGGCCCCTCGCAGGGACAGTGGCTGCTCGCTAAGCCCCACAGGGAGCTCTGCCTGACGCTCGGGGTTTCCTGCCACGACACAGTTCGGCATATGGTGACAGTCACTGTCCTTTTTTGTTTTTTCATATTTGATAGATTTTTTTAATCAGTTTCAGAAACCTAAGCCCATATACAAAAGCAGGAACACATTTAGATACCTCTTTTGAAAGAATGTTTGTCTTTTTGAACTGAGTTTTAAAAAATAACAAAAAGCAACGCCATTAAACACCGTTTTGAAAACTTAGAAGTGCCCCAATACACTCAGTCTCCGTCATCTGTGAAACGGTGCAGCTGCGACACAACGGTCAGGCCACAGCGGCGGAGTCGCACACACACACCTGCCTGCATGGCTTGCTGTGTAACGTCCCTCTCAATGCGAGCTTGCGTTTGAAACACACGAGGGACAGGAGTCCTCACAGCAGAGGCCAAACTTTAATCCTGATGTGTGCGGAATTTAAAAGGTGACCGACAGTTAATATCAGAGTCCAGAAGGAACAACGGGAGGGCATCATTGACAGTGCAAGCAGATCGGGCCTCAGGACTTTCACCAAGGCTCGTGACCTTCACTAGCTCTGACTAAGTATGTAATCAAACATGGCCACGTCTTCCTTGGTGACCTAAAATTAAGACAGAAGCTGTCACACGGGCACCTGCACCACTCAAGCCTACAAGCCTGAAAGCCTGTGTTGAAAGCCCCGGGCTGGTCATCCACTCGTCGCTGTTCTTGCTTTTAGCGAACACCATGCAGTTTAGAAAATGTAGACTAGTGTCTAAACAGGATGTAGATACCAGATGAAGATTTAACTCGAAATTCGGGTCAAGACAAAAAGGCACAACGAACTTCAACTCAATTTTATATGCACAAGAATTGAAAAATCTGAGCCACTTCAGCGAGAAATTGATTCTAAAATTGATAAAACCTATAAGTAATCAGAGGCCAAACCTCTATATTAAAACATTCTCTAGCAAGTAAAAATCTTGGAGTTTAAACATACACTTGTATCCACTTTAGATACAAGACAAAACTCACCCTTTAAAGTGGCTCCACCTTGGCAGCTACAAGGATCTGTACCAGATGCACACCTGCGGTATGTGGGTTATTGGTGAGAACACCCAGCATCACTGTCTATTAAAACTTAAAATGATACCAAGTCACCTGGGCCAAGCTCCTTGGTCTACCTTGAACTGAGCGTTGAACAGATACTCTGAAAATGCAATTACCTCAGATTGCTCTCGTCCATGCACAGTATGTAATCAAACGTGGCGAAGTCTTCCTTGGTGACCTAAAGGTAAGTAAGAGAGAAACCGTCACATGGGCACCTGCACCGCTCAAGCCTACAAGCCTTAAAGCCTAACAGTCCTGCTGCATTTGAGGCTGTGACTCACTAATTACCAACCTAGCTAAATAATAACTTAGGTTGAAGCAGAGCTAATTTATTCCCAAACTTTAGTCACAACACCATGGTGAAAGTCCCTGCGATGGCCATCCACTCCTGCGTGACGCGGACACTGCTCCAGCTCCTCGGCACCCAGAGAGGACGGTGTAGACACACAGTGTCCTGGGGAAGACCAAGGCACAGGGACCCTGTGGTCAAGTGGCCAGAGAAAGTTCCTCGGCAGGGAGCACGAGTGGGGACTGCATTGACAGTATCTTTGGTGACTACCTGGGATTTCAACATGACACCGCTTGGTGTTTTGATGCATTCCAACCTGAAAACGTCCACTATTTTCTGACACTGATTTATAAAGATGTGCCCAGGGAAATGACATAGGAGCTGCTGGAGATGGTTCAGCTCCCAGTGACTCCAGCACTCGGGGCAGAGCAGCGAGCCAGAGTGAGACACGGGGCTTCCTGCCCCCTACTCGGGGCGCTGTGCTGGCCATCAGAGCCACCCGGAGACACGGGGCCTCCTGCTCCCTACTCGGGGCGCCGTGCTGGCCATCAGAGCCGCGCGTGGTGAACAGCCCACGGCACCATCTCAAAACCTAGCAGGGCACTGCTGATTAGCTGCTCTGTTACCCTCTGGATTACTTGTGTAACAAATGTTTCCTTAATATTAAACATTGTTTCTAGTTCTGGATCCTTAGAAAATAAAGACTTAGTAACTGTTACTGAGTCAAACAAACCATCCCGATCTTTGTTTCTGTTTATTTTTTGAATTTCATGTACTCCTTCAATGAGCATGACAGACGCCGGGCAGCACCCCACACCCACAGTCCTGACCCCACAGCACCAATGGGCACGGCGAGCGTGTGCCTGCCACCCTGGAGTCTCTAGATGGAAACCGCATGGCATCACGTGTGCAGCGTGGAAACCGCACAGCATCATGTGTGTAATGTGGAAACTGCACAGAGTCACGTGTGTAGCGTTGGGTTGTCTCTGACCCCCCACCCTGCCCAGCTTTAAATGGGACTTTCGCTTGTAAAGAATGTGGGTGAGGACCAGCACATGGCGTAGCGGTTACATCACTGGACTCCCACATGGCTGACTGCGGTTCGAGTCCCAAATCCAGTGCCTTGAAACGCTGGGCACATGTGTGCACAAGATGCTGGGAGGAGAATGGAGGAGAGGAATAGCCGTGTGGCCATATCCCCAGGGGGTGATTTCTCACTCTCCCTCTCACTGTCTCTGTCTCTCTCTCTCTCTGGCGAGTGTGCACACCCTAAGCCAAAAACCTCTTAAGAAAAAAAGAAAGGATGTGTGTGTAGTGAAGGGGTGCCCTGCAGTTACGACTGACACAGGTCGTGGAAATTAGACCCTCCCATCCACGACAACTAGAAAACCACAGAACGCAGACCGCCCCTTCAGGCTCACCGACGCTCCTGGGAACGAGGCACGAGGCCAGCGCCCGCGGGAGCACGTGGCCCTGCCTTGAGGCAGCCATGCAAACAGCGGACCCAGCTGTGACGCCGGGCACCGAGCAGACCTTGGCGCAGGGGCTCGGGCTTCACAGGGGCAGCCCTTTCCCTCTCGACAACGGTTCAAGTCCTACGCCCACAGCTTGTTCACAGGGTTATCTGAACCAGTACTTGTCAGTCAAAGCGAGAAAACCTTTAAACATTAATCATCCAAAAATAGCGCAAACTCACTAGCTATTACTCACTAAGTGAAAAACCACTTTTCAGCACAGAGCCTGTGAGGAGCACGGCCCTGCTTGGACGTGCCTCGTGCCTGCCTCCGCCCACGCCCGCTCAGCACTAGCGCACAGCAGGAAGGAGCGTCCTGGCCAGCCCAGGGTGACCATGATCGTCCGACACCTCGCCACCCTTGGCAAGTGGCAGTGCTGGAAGCCAGTGCGAGAAGGCGCCTATGGGTTCCAACAAACCTCTGCTCCGGCCCTCAGACCTCGGAGCCAGTGACCTGGCCACTGACACCTGTGCTCCGGGCTCCGACGAGGGGACCTTCAAGGAATGGGCGGCAGTGTCTGGCACCCAGCAGTGCTGCCTCACACCCTGAGGGTGCCGGGCAGCTCCACCCAACCACCCGGACCCAAATGCCAAGAGTGTGAGGCTGAGGACCCAGAGGATCATGGCACAAAGGGCAGAAGGCCAACCTCTGTGTCTCAGGGGCTGTGTGGAGGAGAGGTGTGCGGGCCAGCAGGGCTGCAGCCCAGAGACCAACGGTCCAGGGAGCTGAGCCCGATGCACACCTGCTCTCAAAGCAGCTCGAACGCCACCGTGAAGCTCGAGATCCCTGTGCTGAGGAAGCCCGGCGGAAGTCACAGCCACCCAGGAAGGGGAAACGCCACTGTGTGAGCTGCCCAGCCAGAGGGCCGACCTCTCTGCTGGGGAGCTCAAACCTGAAGGCCACAACTCAGCCTCGTTCCAAGGTGGTCGGCCCTAACCTATCTCCCTACCAAAGGAAACCCATCTGGGAGCAAAATACTGTGGTCCAAAGGTACTGCGATTTCCATGCCCGTCTCAGCCTGGCTCACTCCCATGTGCCGTGCGTTAGCAGACCTCAGAGTCCGTGCAGCACATGCTCGGCAGCACAGAGAGAGGTGAAGAACGCACCTGGGAACTATTAGGTGTCAGGGAAACCGTGACACACTTCTGCACAGAAAAACGGAAAAATGTGTCATGTTTTCCCGGCAGAGTGTACCTGAGCCAGCAGGTAAATGCGCTGAGACCGCGGACGGCTGGAGCGCACGAGCACATTGCCTCAGAGAACAGGTCGGAGCCCGGCTGAAGCTCACAGTGAAAAGGACGGGAAATGAAGTATTTATGTTCAATACACAAAGTTGAATCTCAGGAGAGAAAGTGAAGTAAAATATGAACAATAGTAGCCCAGAATTTTCCAAATTGATGCAAAACATCAACCCATAATTCCAGTATGTTCTGGCTGTCTAGAGCACACTGCTGAGAGCTGAATGCCAAAAGGAAGCGCAAGGGAAGCAGAGGAGGCAGCAGGAGTCAAAGGACCAGGCCGACAGGGCGGATGGGCCTCCCACAGGTCAACGCGGAAACACCACCAAGCTTCCGCAAACCTTCCAAGAGAAGCCCCCACCTGGCTGCTGAGGCCACGCAAGCCTGATCCTGCGCAAGGCGGGGCATGCCCGGCAGACAAGCTAGAGTCAGTCACCCACAGACCCTCGCCTGCAGGGCCCCAACCAGAAGCAGCCTAGTGTCCACCAAGAGCGAGTCACAGTGACACTCAAGGACAGAATCTCTGCAGTGCCACCCCGTGAAGTTAAGAAGGAGGTAAACGTCCAGGGAAGACTGGGGGACAGGGCTCGGGCTGAGCTCAGAATCTGTGTACAAGCTTGGGGCGGGTTTCCCAGAAAAGTCTGCACTGGACTAACGGGGCCAGCAGGCTGACGGCTGCGCTGAAAAAACCAGGCAGGCCCAGCTTCGATGGGCAGGCACCAAACTGCACACTGCCAGGGCTGCCACAGGCTCAGGTCCCAGGTTGATCTGAAATATGCATCTGGCAGAGCGCCCGGACCGACGGGCGGTGGGGGGAGTGCGCAGCCAGGCTCTGGAGGCCCCCTCTGGTATCTGCACGTGCTCAGGAAAGAGAGAGAATAAACTTTTAAAAGTACTGGGAAGCGACCAGCAGGTGGCGTGGTGGTGATGGCCCTGGGTCACACACGGCCAACCTCCGTGCCAACTGGGACCCACAGGCCTGAAAGATCACACCACACATGCGTGTAAGTGTGCACAGGAGCCTGTGAGAATGGAGGAGAAGGGACTGCAATGTAGGCATCCCCCTGGGGGTGATTTCTCCTCCTCCCTTTCTGTCTCTCTCCTGTGAGTGCATGGGCCCTATGGCAAAACCCTAAAATGGAAGCATGGGAAAAATTAGGATGCAAAACTCTACTGGAGGGAGCCAGCTGGTGGCGTGGTAGTTAAGGCAGATGGATCCCACATGGGTAACTACATGGTTCAAGCCCCAGGCCTGGAGGCTTCAAAAAAACACACTGAGCATGTGCTTGTGCGCATGCATGCCCCAAATCCCGAGTTAAAAATGGACAAGGGAACGTGATGTGTCTACCTCCCCCCCAGAGGGTGCCTTTTCTCTCTTCCTCTCTCTGGCGAGTGTGCATGTTCTGCAGCAAAAAGTTGTTTAAATGGATGAGAATAGTTACTCCCGAACTGTGACAACTAGTGACAGAAAGGAGCTGTAAGTGTAAGGAGGCCTGGAGCGATGCCCATTGTACTTTAAATTGTTACAAAGTTACACTGCTGGCAACATTTTTCTTAAAGGTTTCAAAGAACAAGAACCAGATACTGTGGAAGTACTAATTCAAAACCAGTATGTAAAACTGTCCTTGAAAAACAGCTTCTAGCTTTTTAATTTTATTCTATAATTTCTAATTTACATTTAATAGCTTGGCTTATTTAAAGGCCTAAGTATTAAAAAAAACCTTCATTTGCATCCAGTTTTTTAATTTTTTCTTTTTTTTTTTTGAAGTTTGCTATCGGGCACGTGTACTTACTTACGGAGTGAAACAGACACAGAGAGGGAGGGAAAGTGAGAAATCCCCAAGAGGCATGGCTACACTACAATCCCTTCTCCATTCACTTCTTGAGACTCGGGGCGCGCACACGTACTCAGTGTGTTTTCAACTGCTGGGTCCAGGACTTGGAATGCGTAGCAGCCACGCAGCATCCAGCAGCCTGAACCTCCATGCCACCTGCTGGCCTGCACCCAGCTTTATTATACACTGATGTGCGTGAAAAACAACGTGACTTTTAAAACAAAACACTTGGGGCTGGCCCTGTAGCAGGCAGTTAAGTGCCATGGTGGAGGCCACACTCCACGTGGCTGACTACGGTTCAAATCCCGGCCCTGGAAGCAATGCGCTGGGCCACGTGCAGGTGCTCCGGACACTGCCAGGGTGAAGAGCTGGAGGGAAGAACTGCAGGGGCCCATCCTGCTGGGGTGCTCTCTTCCTCACCTCCCCACGCCCCTCACACACACGTTTCTCTATCACACAAAAGTACACTGGAAAAGACTCAAAGCACAGCCTTCCTAATGCTGAAGATCTCCTCCCTGCGAGGTTGTGCCCTCACGCAGTGGTGAGCAGACACAGGCGTGCGGGCAGCAGGCCTGAAGGCCCAGTGAGCACATGAGAGGAAAAGGCCCCTTACAGAGTCCCGAGTACCTGACTGAAACTGAGAATGCGGGACCTGCTGGGCGGGGTTGAGCACACCTGGAGCTGCCAGCGTCTGGTACCACAGCCCTGCGGCTGCTGTGAGACTCGCGCCCGGAGGGCTGGTGAGCTGCAACTCCATTTCCACCAGACCACTAAGCCGACCGAACGTGCACACGTATGTGGCGCTGCTTTAGCTGGTGACGCGCACATTACAGCCAACAGGCACAGCACCTGTGGTTTAAAAACCAATGGAAGTAGGGGCCAGCGAGTGGCACGGTGGTTAAGACGCTGGACCCCCACGTGGCTGACTGTGGTTTGAGTCCTAGACCTGGCAGCTTGAAAATCACACCGGGCTCGTGGGCATGCTCAAAATGTCGGGAGGAGGACGGCGGAGAAGGGACTGCAGTGTGGCCATCTCCCAGATGGGCGCTTTCTCACTCCCGTCTCTCTCCAGGGAGTGCACGCACCCTATGGCAAAAACCTACAAAGAAGGCAAAACCAGCAGAATTCATGGAGACGGCTCAGGCCAGGTCTCGGCACATTTCCAGTGAACACCAACATCACGCGAGCCTCTGAGGGCTCAGAGCCAGAGGCAAAACGATCTGTGCACCAGCCGGCAGGTCCACGCCGAGCCCACACCCGTGAACGCCCAGTGGGCTCAGCTCTCACGACTGCTCGGCGGGGGCTGCACGTCAGAGAGCAGATGGGCCTGCCCTACCTGTCTCGCTCTGTGGGCCGTGCTAATGCCATGACCTCTCAGGCAGCTCACAGCTCGGGGGTCCGGGGACCGGCCCACGTTCCAGTCAGACACCGCGCCGCTGTCCATGACCCACTGCAACACAGAACACACGTCCTCGAGGTCAAGAACGGTACCTGCCGGGCTACGTGGCTCATGGGGACGCCGTGCTTCTCCATGCAGCTCTGTCCTCGGTAGTCGGGGGGGTTCCCTATCTCGTACGCGGAGGTCGCCGCGCTGTCTATCCTCCACTGCAGGAGAAGAAGAAAGAAGCTTTTCGGCCATTTCCTACCGAATCGTCAGGCGGGGCTCTAAGACAACGCATGGTACTCACGTTCTCGGAGACGTTCTGGTCGCTCACGAGTTTCCTGAAAACAGCTTCTGCAATCGGAGACCGGCAGATGTTACCTTAAAGAGGGGGCACAGACAGGGTTAGGCTTGGTGCTGCCAGACGCTGGCCCTGCCGGCCCAGGGTCCCCAGGGCCACCCTCCCTTCAAACCAGCTAGCTGCTAACCCAGGACCCACACACCCACTCAGGTCAGACAGGGCTCTAGAACGACTGGCAGGACAGGACGGGACTGTGCTACACGCGTCACGGCTAAAGGCGCAGATGAGAGCCAGCAGGGAGAGACGCGGAGGGCACGCAGCCTACCCACCATCGCTGTGCCGCCCTGTCGAGTGCACCGCCCTGGGGAGCTTAGACAGCCCTGGGCTTACATATGCAGCAGGACGGACAGACTCCCTGGCTGTCTGTACCGAGCGCCGGGCCCACACTCGAGACATCTCCTCAGTGTAAATGGGGCCACTGGGACAGAGACCCCTAGAAAACTCCAAGGCACCTAGGGATTAGCTCCGTGCAGCCAGGACAGTGGCCACATTCCCCACCACACAGGAGGAGAGAAAAAAGACCCAGACTCCTCCCAAAGCAGAGCTAGCCCGTGCCCAGAGAAGCACGCAGGTGAGGTGCAGGGTCCGCCACAGTGAGTGAGTGTGGCACACAGGCACCACGCAAGAGCTGCAGAGGGAGAACAGCTCCACAGAGCATAAGCCACACGCCGCCCTTACGAGGAGAAGGGGTACTGAGCTGGGGTGTGGAGGGTCTCAGTGGGCCAGGAAGGCGCTCAAGTCCAGGCAGTCGGGAACTGGCGGCCCCAACAAGCCTCGAGGACATGAGCTGCCAGGGCCTGGAGCTTCACGGCCTCGGTGTGGAACCCGAAGGTCTTGAGGGAGGGGTGAACTCCACGAGCACGCTCTGCACACCCTCCGCAACGAGCCACACCCTGCACCAGGGCCTGAAGACAGTTAAGACAGGACCCCGACCTCCAGGCCACACGGCCAGTCGGGGCAGCAACCAGAAGCTTCATGTGTGCTGAGCCGTCCCGTCCCTCAGGGCACCACCCAGCTCCGCCTGAGACCAGGGCGGCCTCAGACCCTAGGAGCGCGGAGTCCGCTGTGAGCCGCGCGACCTAGTGGGGACCGGACCTGAGGCGCCAGCTCCAGGGCGCGCTGCCAACGCTGAGCATCAACGGCAGAGAGGTGGGGCTGCACAGAGACCGTACGTCGGCTGCTTTCGGATTCGTCAAAATGCCTGCGGCGACAGGCAGCGACGACGCAGCGGCACTGCTGCGGGCTCACGGCGGGAGCAGGCTACGCGGCACACCAAGCCAGGGCAAGCTCATGGCCAGAATGCGCTCCTACACCACGAAAGCCTGCGCCTGGCCGCCGGGCCTCACGTGCCTCCCCGCATGCCCCTCACGGCGCCGCTCACCCAGCCACGCCGAGTACAAAGCAAACGTCACTGGAGCCTCTTCCCCGAGGGGAGACTCCATGATGAGACGCAGAGACCGAGGCTGCCCACGGAAGGAAAGCTGCGCTCACAAGCACGCCGGGGCCCTCACTCCCCAAGCCCACTTCCTATGTGTCAATGCCGCCTTGAGACCTTCAAACTGCCTTGCCACGCGGAAAGGAGCACCGGAGGCCGGTGACGTCCTTCGAAGGCGGACAGGCATAAACGGGAGAGCAGCCACGACGGAGGCACCACTTCGTCACTGCGTCTGCCCGGAGCTCCACGCGCAGCTTACCGCCCCGCTGCAGGGAAGAGTCCCCCCACCTGCTGCAAGGACATCCAGCCGGGCTGTGGCTCAGAGGGTAGCACAGCTAGACAAAGTAATGAGACGGCAGAGGACACGGAGGTGCACGGGTAGGGGAGAAAGCGTCACTGGCGTGCAACCCAGGGAGACGAGTCTACTGACGCGGACAGCAGGGCCACAAGTTCGCTTTGCTTCTGCTTCAGGTACTTGCAGTAGGGTGCATGCACTGGCCAGACAGGGAAAGCGAGGAATCACTCACCAGGCGATGGCCACGCCACAATCTCCTTCCCTCCACTCGCCTTTCAGGATCCTGGACATGCACACGCGCACCTGCTCTGATTTTCAAGCCCACGGTAGGCCATGAGGGAAACACAGCCTTCACCACCATGCCACCTGCTGGTCCGCAATGCTGGTCTCTGAGCAGTGTTTTCAGGAGGCTGAGTACAAAGGTGACACACACTTTTGCTGCTGAGCAATCCCACAGCTGCAAACACTCGAGTCTTTGAATAATTACACACGAGCAAAACTGAGCTGGTCACTCTGTCAATACGCAGGATGGGGCGGTGGCCGTGACTGGCCGGCTTTCTGGCTCCACCACTCAGGTGAGTGGTCTCTTCTGAACGTAGTCTACACACTGTGCCATCGAAGAGAAGCAATGGCCAGGTGGAAACGTCCCGAACGTCGTCCTGCCACGCACAAGTGCAGGCCTCCCTTAGTCTGTGGGGAGGGACGCAGAGCACCCACGCCCCTCAGCAGAGACAGCTTTCCAAAGGCCCACAGCGGCCAGTCTCCGAGACACCAGAGCTGCTCCAGAGATCTCTGAGCGCGGCTGGCACTGGAGCACATCTCGGTGGCCCAGAATGGGTCACATGCTTGCTTACTTGCATGACACATTCAGGCTGCTCGATGAGCTCGATCTGCCACCTCAGAGAACGGCAACCGGGCTGTCAGCAGGTAAGGTGCTGCTTTCAGAGCCAGACTGGAACTGCGGGTGATGGACGCACACTGCATTTCGATGTTTTTCAAACATGAGCAGATGTGGAAAGACAGCCAGGCCGCTCGCTCCCAGTGGTGCGTGATCGCCTGAGCTTTCAGGAGAGTGCGGCACTTCTTCGCAACCACAGAAGAGCCCCAATCTGAGAAGAGTGGCTCCGTGCCTCATTCGTGCAAATGCAGGCAAGCCGACGCCATGTGTGCTACAATAGGATCAACTGCTCAAGACCACGGATGACGGCAGATCGAACACACCCGAGACAGCGTCGGGTCTCCATGTGCTCCAGAGCACAGCCATGAATGCACTGACACGCTGCTTTCACTCCAACACCCTACCTTTGCCACACAGGGCTTTCTACAGGGACAAACGCAGGAACACTAAGTGGATGGACACAGCAGCACTCAGGCGGCGCGGTGCGGATCACCCAGGTGGGACGGTCCCACTGCAGGACAAGCTTGAGGCGCCGGCTGCGGAGTCTGCACAGGGTGGGCTGTGGTTACCGCTCTGCGTCAGTGTAACAACAGAGATAAAGCCCACAGTAAGCATGCTGTGCTCAAACCGTCCCAACCACCTTCCCCGCCCAGCTCCGGCAGGGAAGAACTTCCGTGAACTCGGTCCCTGGTGTCCAAAAGATTGGGGACTGCTGGTCTAAACACAGACTTTCCTTATGAACTGAAAAACAAACAAAAAAAAACTTGGCAGACTGAAGGTGGAGAAAACACCTGAGACTGACCAACCCGAGTTTTATTAGCACTGGAGCCTCAGACCAAGGGAAACTGCTTTTATGCAACAGTTCCACGAGAAACAAGCAGCCATGCAGAAAATGGACTGGGGAAGGACCTGACCTACCGGGAACAGGTGGGGACCCAGCAAGCCCTGTCTGACCAGGCTCTGTGGCCTCTCTGCACCATTTCTTTCTCCAGGCAGGGCAGGACCCTCTGGAACACAGGCCTTAAGGGAGAGAGAAGAGAGAAGCCCTCCTAGGTTCCATTGCTTTGGGGGAGGGGCCTGGTCTCTGGAGGAGGGGAAACTCTGATCCTTATGACTTGGAGGAGAGACAGGGATGGAAGCAGGAGGGCGGTAGCTTGGGGAGACTGCCACGGAAGCTCACAGGCACAGTGCACCCTCTGGACAGGCTGCTCTGAGCCCCATCACTGGGAACTACATTAAAGCGATGGAGATCATGCTACACGGCATCTCTGCGAACAGGTGCAGCTGGGTTCTTCAAAAGCACAAGTGACACACACTGACCCCCCGTGGGTGAAACCTGGTCGTCTCAAGGTGACAGCCTCCAGTCACGACCTCGGCTTACTTTGCTCTCCCCCAGACTTTGGGCTTGCAGTATGTTAAAAACAAAATGTAAACAAACCAAAATTTAACAGTTTATTTAAACAAAGGGCAGGTGATTTAAGTTGGGCAGTCTCCCAGAAGATGGTTTTGAGACTCCAGCCAACCGCGTGGTCACAGGGCACATCAGCGGACAGGAGTGACACCTGCTGTAAAGGGAAGGTGTGTACAAAAGGGGAGGCATGAGGCAGAGACCACCAGGGACAGCTGGAGGGTGGCCGCACGAGGCACCCAGGGCAGGCTTCCTGGGATCGACTGGAGTGGCTGATCCGATTTCGGCTTATCCATAGGAGTCCGAGTATGGGGAGGACAGTGCCCACTCAGGCCCTAAGAGTTCAGTTTAACAATTTTTTAAATGTTTGAGAGATTGACTAAAATTTATGGCATGTCTGCCTTTCGTTATTATTACAAATGACTTTGTCTTCAGTGTAGAACTTAGGAAGGTTTTCGGTCTCTGGCGTGGCGTTTGTGAGTCAGAGTCCATCCACACAGCAGGAAAGGGGGGGTCAGGAGCATGCAATGCTCGGCACACGCTAGCGAGTGCGGCGCCGCCTGAGTCTCAGAGGTGTCCGGTCTCTGGAACGTGTGCCACGGCCACGGGAACGACATGGCTGCCACCAGCACTATTTCAGCAGCTTCCTACAGTAATCATTCTACTTGTCGCTGTGGACCCTGGGCGTGCTGTCAACAGCAAACACGCCATTCCAAATCAAGAAAATCGTTGCTACTGTGGAACTCTGAAAGGGATGACAGAAGCCTGGTACCGCAGCAGCTGAAGGACTAGGCCTGCCCTTTACAAACTGACAGCACTAGCTCGAACGGGTTTCCCACAACAAAAACCCTATTCACAGTCTTACAGGCATGCTCACCCACTCCTTTTCCCCAGATTGCTACATTTAAAACAGGAAGAGAGGCCAGCGGGCAGTGTGGTGATTAAGGCGCTGGACTCCCACAAGGCTGACCACAGTTCTGACCAAGGCCCTGGACCTGGAGCCTTGAAAAACACACAGGGCGTATGTGCGTGCATGCCCGGGGGCCTGCGAGGAGAGCGGAGAAGGGACTGTGGGGCGATGCCAGCCACCCTCGGAGGTGAATTCTCACTTTCCCTCTCTCCAGCAAGCACAGGAGCCCTATAGCATGCATGCACGCGTGCACACGGACGCGTGCACACGGATGACTGCAGATTAGAGTAACACCCACATTGCCAAAATCAGAAATCAAATGTCTGCTTGTCTGCATCCCTAGTGACTTTGTCACGGCCTGGAGCGGCAGCGGTCAGCGAGCACAAGGCTTCACCCCGGCACAGGTCCTGAACTCCTGCACTGCAGTCTGCAGGTTTCCAGAGGAAAAGCTCCTGCTGTGAGTCCCCAGCTGGCCTGGTGCTCTGGGTGCCGGGTCCAAGGGATAGCAGCTTCCCTTACACCGCCCCAGGCGGGTCACAGAGCCCTGACGGTCGGTCCTCCACCTTCACACCCTTCCAGAGGGTCACAGAGCCCTGACCGTCCTCCACCATCACACCCCTTCCAGAGGGTCCTCCTGAAACCTGGGGTAAAAATGCCAACTGGAGAGGCCAAGATTTCGAGACAGACCCTGATGCCCCCCCCCGCCCCCGCCTGTCACCCCATGAGGGACGTGCAGGACAGGGTCAGGGTGCCCGGGCAGCTGGACACGCAGGTTCCTGGAGAGAGGCGCTGAGTCGGCATGGTGCTGCGCCTCCCACACGCCCTGCCCGGGGCATCTCGCCGCCTGTGCTCTGAGGCTCCTTCATAAGCCACCATCCGTCCTGAGCTCTGTGAGCTGCTGCTCCACGGGAGTGATCGACCTGAGGGAGGGCTCGTGGAGGCCAGAGCTCCAGGGGCCCCGCCTGCGACTGGCGTCCACAGTGGGGAGCCAACCGCGGGGGCTACGGGAAGGCAGGGTCGCCAGAACTGGCCCAGGTCAGAGCTGCCAACTGGGCATGGGCGCAGAAGCGCCGTCTCGCTCCTGGAGAACCCCCACCCACTCTGGGGCCACAAAAGAGACCTGGGTTGCGGGACACAAGAAGGAAGAGTTTTGTGGGCACCTTTTTTTCCACCAGGCAGCATGCCCTATGCCCACTAACACCTTCGTCTCGAGGGTGGAGACCCTCAGAAGACACTGGTCAGGCTCTGGGCGGGGAGGCTGACCCTGCTTCACCCGGTGAGCCCAGCCCCAACACAGAGGGACCGAACCCAAACTCTAACCCTAAGCCACCATGCTGGCTGGGCACAACCACCACCTTCTCCAGGAAGTCCTGACCAACATCAGTCTTCCTGACCTCGCCCAAGCCAGCGGCGCGTGCTCAGCCAAGCACCCGCCAGTGGGAAACCCAGTCCCAAAAGGGCCAAACGAACACCATGAAGGAATACCGACTTTAAAGTTGGAAGCATCCAGCCCACCCTCTCAGGGTCCCCACTGCCAGGGCTGCCACGTCTCAGCACCTACCCATCTCCCTAATCTTCCCAGAACACCGGCCAGTACCTGCCCGCTCCGCCGCCCTGGCCCTCCTCCCACCCAATCTCGACAGGACAGCTGGAGCCTCTGTTCAGGGGTGTGTGTGTGTCTGGTGTGCTAGACAGGGCCTCCCTATCGTGGTCCCCTCCCTCGGTCACCATGCCCGGTTTCTGAGCGTGCTGGGAACTGGCCGGGCTTCCAGTGTGGCCTTAGCACAGCGGCTGATCGAGGGACATTTCTTTCCGGACTTAAATCGGACAGTCCCCACCTGTGCACCATGGCCTTAGGGGGCTTACCACACTCCGAGTAAGTCCGCACCCTCACACGGCATCCCGGGACCCGGACCTAAAACAGGGCTCTGAACACCACGGCTCCCAGCCCACCTCATAGGCATATAGACCACAGAGCTCAGGGTAACTTTTACTTTTTAGTAGCTGGAAAAAAAAGAAACATACAAAATATGCTGGGGGGCCAGCAGGCGGTGCAGTGGCTAGGGTGCTGGAATCCCACATGGCCGACCACGGCTTAAGCCCTGCTGGCTGTGTCTCGCTTTCTCTCTCTAGGAAACTTACATAAATAAATAACATAATAATAAATACAATAGTCCGCTGTGAAGTGAACGTTCTGTAGCTCAACCCGGTGTCCAGGAAGTGCTGCTGGAGCGCAGCCAGGTCCCACGACCGGGGAAGCCCTGCACTGTCCCTCTGATGCAGCCCGGGGCTAGCATGGGTGCGCTCAGGCTCACACAGAGTGTGCAGGGCCTGCCCTGAGTGCTGTGGTGTGTAAGGAACAGCTCCCATGAGAGCCCTGGAGAGCAGCGCTCAGGCTGCGGAGTCCAGCAGGGCGAGGCGCCTGCTCGCCTGGCCAGCACGGTCCTTCGGAGCCTTCCCCTCCAGCAGGGCGAGGCGCCCGCTCGCCAGGCCAGCACGGCCAACACTGTCCTTCGGAGCCTTCCCCTGCTTCCCCCGGCCCACAGGGCTTTTCCACAACCTCCCAGGCTTGCTTCCTCACCTCCTCCAAGGTTCTACATGGAGCCTACTGGGCCACCCACCCCTTCCATGTTCCTCTCACACCTCGCACCAAACGCAGCCCACGCTGGCCAAGACGGAGGTGAGCACCCGGCACCTGGGCCTCCGCTCTGGTCCGTCCATCGCGGCCCCTGCAGCAGGAGGTGCAAAAGGACGGTTACTAAGACACACGTGCACACGTCTGCCCACAGCACCTGCACCACCACGCCATGTGCGTGAGCGAAAGCTAACGGGCCCCGGATCCCAGCAGGTGTGACCCGAGCATCTACCACTTGACGGCATTATCCCAGCAGCCGCCCCGACAGAGCACACCGAGGCCCACGAGGCAACCACAGGGACCAGTGGCCTGCCCAGGCCCTCAGAAATGGGTGCCCACAAGTACCTGGTGGTGCCACTTGCGGTTCCTAAAGCCAGAACACGAGGGAAGTCAGTCAGTCCCTGCCCTCGACAGCAAATTCACCAGGTCTCAGCACGCCGTAAGATAATCGTAATGGAATCTGTGTGACCCGAGGCGCCGGGACGGCCTGGGACAGCAGCCAATGGGCTAAGGACGCAAACAGGACCATGTGAGTCTGCCCAGACCAGGGGCTATCAGAGAAAATGAAAAATGGGCTTCCTGCAAGGACCAGCAGATGGCATCATGGTTACGTCACTGGACACCCACGTAGTTGACCACAGCTCAAGTCCCAGACCCAGTGACTTAAAACTCATGCTGGGCACTTGTGTGTGTGTGCCCAAGATCCTGAGAGGAGAACGGAGAAGGGATTGCAGTGTGGCCATCCCCCCGGGGAGTGATTTCTCAATTTCTGTCTCTCCGTCTCCTCTCTCTCTCCAGCTAGCGCACATGCCTTATAGCAAAATATCTATTACGAGAATAAAATTATTTTAAAAAAGGGTTTGCTCCAAGCTGGCCCCACAATCGGAGGACAGAAGCCCCTAGCAACACAGGGCACAGATGCTCTGAGGGTGCCCTCGGGCATGGCGGGAAAGGGCCCAGGAGAGACTGAGAAGGGCCTGGCAGGCTCCCCGTGAAAGGAAGAAACTTTACCCTGCAGGAAGAGGAGAGCATTTTAAGCACCTGGACTCCTGACAAGTCTGGCCTCTCTAAGGGGGGAAAGCTGGCGGACACCTTGGGGACTGGGACACCAGGAGGAACCCACATGAACCCCCTCTGAGTAAGGGGCTAAGTGGAGATCCTCCAAGAACACGAGCGAGTCTACGCTGGAAGTCACCTGAAGGGAGAATGTACACCCGTCCCTCCTTCGCCTGGAGAGAGGGGACACTGGTGCATGGGCTGGTCACCAAGGTTATGCAGACCAGAGCCCTGGCTCAACTTCCCCCCTGGGGACTGTGGACCCGCAGGCTCCCGCTCCCCTTAGCTCTGACCTTTGTAAGGACAGACCAAAGTCACCTGGAGGCCCAGGGACACGATGGAGGGGAGTCAGGGACAGTGTGCGGATGCTAGGGGACCCGGGGACACAGGCCAGGCAGGTGAGGGGGACTCAGGGATACAGGCCTTGGAAGTGCAGGAAGCTCGGGGATGGCAGGCCAGGCAGGTGCAGTGACTCAGGGACACAGGCGAGGCAGGTGGGGGACCCGGGGACAGCGGGCCCGGGCACGTGCGAGGACCCGGAGGTAAGGAGGCTGAAGGCAGAGTCGGGTGACCCAAGGTCTCCCCGCCCCCGGCCTCCGAGCGCACAGGCCCCGGCGCAGCCTCCCCGAGGGTCAGCTGGGTGGGTCGGCGCCCTCTTACCCAGACATACGAACAGCACCGACTTGGGCACCCGCTCGGCCATCTTCCCGCGCGGACAGAAGCCCCGGCGACCACGTCGGGCTTCCTCAGACGCGGCGCGTGCGTACTACCCCCGCCCCCAGCCCCCAGCTCGCGCCTGCGCAGTCGGTCTCGCTCGCATAGCCGCTAGATAGCCTGCGCCTGCGCAATC